TTCTTTATTACTTTTTTGGTGGTTTTTGTCCTTTATTATGGTTTGCTTCTTTAATTTGTTTTCTTGCTTGGAAACCTCTTGGAAATCCTCCTGATAAAACAAATATGGGTCTTGCTATACTTCTCTTAATCGTTATCTTCCTTCAAGCTATTTTTAATGGTTATCAAGATTGGACTTCTAGTGCTGTTATGAAATCAATTAATAGTATGCTACCTTCTACTGCTACCGTAATACGTGATGGAAAATCTCAATCAATTCCTCTATCAACTTTAGTCATAGGTGATTTGGTTTTATTAAAAATTGGTGCTAAAGTACCTGCTGATGTTCGTATAATAAATCAAGTTGATCTTAAATTTGATAAATCTGTCTTAACCGGTGAAAATAAACCCGTTAACGCCACTGTTGAAATGACTGATGATATTTACCTGGAATCTCGTAATATTGGTCTTATGGGTACTTTAATAACTAATGGTGAAGGTTTAGGTATTGTTGTAGCTACTGGTGATCGTACTGTTATGGGAAAGATTGCTAAATTATCTTCTTCTACTTCACAAGAAAGATCTATTTTACAAAAAGAAATTACTAGTTTCGTTATAATTATTACTTGTTTAGCTATTACTACTGCTGCTTTAACTCTTATTGTTTGGGCTGCTTGGTTAAGAGTTGATTATCCAAATTTTATTGATTTATCTGGTGCTCTTGTAAATTCCATCGGTGTACTTGTGGCTTATGTACCTGAAGGTCTTCCAATTGCTGTGACTTTAACTTTAACTTTAGTGGCTAGAAAAATGGCAAAACAAAAAGTTTTAGTAAAAAATTTAACTGTAGTTGAAACTTTAGGTTCGGTAAATGTAATAGCAAGTGATAAGACTGGCACTTTGACTCAAAATCAAATGTTTGTAGATATAGCTCATGTTGGTGATGAATCTTTTGATCGGGAAAAATCTCTTGAAGCTAAAAATTCAAAATCTTTAGGTTTTTCATCAATTGGTTTCAGTTGGTCGTCTTTGTAATTCTGCTTCTTTTGATCCTAAAACTATAGAATTTCCAATTAATGAAAGAACTATTTTGGGTGATGGTACTGATTCGGCTATTCTTCGTTTTGTTACTGAATATGCTATTAATGATTCGGAGATTGAACAATTCGGCAAAATTGCTGAAATACCTTTTAATTCAAAAAATAAGTGGATGTTACGTGTAATGAAACCTAAGGACAATAACAATGTATATAGGACTGATCGGCATATCTTGGTGATTAAAGGTGCTCCTGATGTGTTACTCGGTAGTTGTACACGTATTCTCAATCCTGATGGTACTGAAAGACCACTTGATGATAATGCTCGAAAATCTTTGGTTGATACTCAATCTGAATGGAGTAGTGCTGGTAAACGTGTCATCTTACTTTGTCGTCGTGTTATTACAAATGAAAGTGAAATTCCTTCGGATACTAGTGATTTGGAATTACTTGGTCAACTTTCTTATAATTTAACTGTCATTGGACTCATGGGTATTCTTGATCCACCACGACCTGAAATTCCTGATGTTATAAGGACTTGTCGTGGTGCTGGAATTAGAATCTTTATGGTTACCGGTGATTTTTCTTTAACCGCTTCTTCTATAGCTAAACAAGTTGGTATCTTTTCCGATTCAGAGAATACCATACATACTATTAATGATCTTGAACAATTTTCTGAAAAATTGGAAATTGTCGAACATAAAGAATCAACAGAAGAAATTCCTAAAAAAGTAAAATCACTTTTGTTGACCGGATCTGATTTAGCAACATTGAACGAAAAACAATGGGATATAGTCATTACTTATGATGAAATTGTATTTGCTCGTACAACTCCTGAACAAAAATTACGTATAGTTCAAGAATTTCAAAACAGAGATTCAATCGTTGGTGTAACTGGTGATGGTGTTAATGATGCACCTGCATTGAAAGCAGCTAATATTGGTATTGCTATGGGAGGTGGAAGTGAAGTAGCAATAGAAGCAGCAGATATGGTACTTTTGGATAATAACTTTTCATCAATAGTAGTTGCTCTAGAAAGTGGTCGCCTAGTCTTTGATAATTTGAAAAAAGTTATTCTATATTTATTACCTGCTGGATCTTGGTCCGAATTACTTCCTGTACTTGTTAATGTATTTTTAGGTGTTCCATTACCTTTATCAACATTTTTAATGATATCGATTTGTGTGTTAACCGATATGCTTCCTTCTATCGCTCTCATGTACGAGAAAGCTGAAAAAGATGTACTTACACGTCCACCTCGAAATCCAAAAAAATCACGTCTTGTAGATTGGAAATTACTTGTTCAAGCTTACCTTTTCTTAGGTATGATGGAATCATTCTTTTCACATTGTATGTATTTTCGTTACATGCAAAAATATGGTGGATTTCAACCATCAGATTTATTATTAGCTTATAATAAATGGACAGATGGATATAAAGGATATACAGGAGATCAATTAAACGAATTTATGTATACTGGACAATCTGTTTTATTTGTTAGTTTAGTTGTCATGCAAGCTTTTGGAAATCTTTTTGCAACTCGAACAAGATATTTATCATTATTTCAACATTTACCAATTAAAAAACGATCAAGTAATTATTATCTTTTTTGTGCACAAATTGGATCTATCCTTCTTGCTTGTATTATAATATATACACCCGCAATTAATGATGCTTTAAATACCCGACCTATTCCCGTGGAATTTTGGTTTATTCCTCTTGGTTTTGCTATGGTTATTGTTGTTGTTGATGAAATTAGGAAATTTTTCGTTCGTAATCATTCCCCTTCTTTCTTTTACAAACTTGCTTGGTAGTTTCTTATCAAAAAGATTTCTGTAATCAACATAATTTATTATATTGTATAATAGTGGAAAATGATTAATTTTTACAAAAACAACAAAAAATTCGAGGGTGGGCATTTCATTTTTCTTCTTTAAAACAAATCCTTTATTTTTTTTTTTATTCTTAAACTATTTCATGAAATACAACAAATTCGTTAATTATGAAACCCCATTAAATTGTTTTGAACTATCTGCGAAAAATATGTGATATATTGGGAAAATTGTAATTTGAACTCCCAATTATTTAATATTCTGCAGATATGTAAATGTAAATATAGTATAACGAAGCTATTGGATTTGATTTTTTTAAATCGAGGTGGAATTTATATGTACACATAATTAAGCTGGGGAAAGTTTCATTATCTCTTATGTTGTATTGCTTGTGTATTTAACTAATATTAATTAAAATTAAAACACCTTAAATTATTGAAATTAATAATATTACATGATTTCAAGTGAAGTTTGTCATATACTACATAGTTTTGTTTAGACATTATATGTAAAATGATAAATTTAATAAGACCTTGCGTAATTATTATTTTCATAGTGCATAAAGTCTGAAGTTAAAGAAATTGGTTGATAAAATCTATAAATAATTGTTTTACATTTTTATTTTCTACAAAATGAAAAAATTATCAATACAAGCTGTAGCATTGAAACCTAAAAGATGAGCTACATTTGATCCCTTTGAAAAGTCTACTACGAATTAAATGTCAGTAGCAAATTGACATGACAATAGAAAATTGACCATAATCTGTAACCAAACTTTATTGATTATATAGTTTCATAAATTTAGTATGGTATATCAGAAATTTCGAGTCGATTACTACCTTTAATAATACTAATCATGCGACTTTTATATACCGCATTCGGATGAATAGGAATATCCGGTTTCCATTTCATAATATTATATGTCATCGTTGCATGATGCGAATTAGTCAATTCCCGTGTTAAACTTGAATATATCCATTTATCGACCTCATAACTATTTTTAGATCTATATTCATCAAGTGTCAATTCCTCTATATAACCAGACAATGATGCAAATTTAAATTTTTTTCGAGTCCAATCATGCTTTATATTATTATTATACCTAAGGCATATACATAATGGTTTAATAGAATTTAATATCTCATTTATATTCGGTCGTTCTGAAGGATTTTGATCCCAACATCTTCTTAGCAAATCATTATAAGCTGGAGGTGCAAAATGACATATTGTTGGTCGAAGACCATTACAAATATCTTTTATTAAGCTTACACAATGCGACCTGTTTGAAAAGGCTGGAATCCCACAAATCAGTTCCCATAAAATAATACCTAAACTATAAATGTCTCCTGCCTGCGAATATGGAGATTGGAAACGAAGTATCTCTCCTGCCTGCGAATATGAAAGTATCTCTGGTGCAATATTTGGTATAACCCCATAAATTTTTTTTTCATACATCTCCGTTTCATTTATTGGTCGACATAATCCAAAATCTGAAATAAAGGCATCCTCCTCATTTAATAATAAAATATTTCCACAATGAAGATCACCATGTACCCAACCTTTAGCATGAATATTTTGAAGTTCTACACATATAGACTGTGCTATGCTTAATTTATTTTCTAGGGTTAGTTGATCAAAATTTTTCTGCAAGAATCTCCGAAGATCCCCTTGTGGCGCATAGCGCATTACGAACATGTATTGTGATGTTGAAGGATCTTTGGTAACTCCATATAAATGGCAACAATTAAATTGAGCTCGAGCCTGCATTCAAAATAAAATTCATTTAATATTGCTATAAACGCTCTGATTAATTAACTACTTACAATCCGTACCTCTTTAAGAAAAATATGAATGGAATCTTTATCGCTTTTTAATTGCTTTAATGCAACAGTACAGGGATGAGATCGAGTATAATATTTGTTTCCGTCTATTACGGAAAAAACATTTTATTCCTTTATCCCACTTTGCAGAATATATATCTCCGAACCCACCTCTGCCAATATGTTTTATTTCAGTTAATGAGTCATAAGAAATCCATTCAGGAAACTGAATATAAGACGATAAAAGCTGTGCTTTTTGAATAAATTCATCGATTTCAAAATTACCACTAGTCCAGTTAGAAAACTCACTTATTAATATTCTATGAAGACAACTGTCGCATAGATATGAAGGTTCTACAAACATATATTCTAATGTTGAAGGATCCTGGGTAAGTCCGTATAAA